GTTAAATATCTTCGAAAATAAATGAAGAATAGATGAACAAATTACAATTAAAGCATTTTGTAGTAGTTTGGTAAAATAATAAGTGCCAATTTCAACATATTAACCTTTCTGATTATTTTCTGATTTTCGAAAAAAATTCTGAATATTTTCTGATTTTGATAGTCGGAATTTCTGATTTTTAAATTTTTGATCTGGCAACCCTGTTTGTAATAGATATAGATGAAACGATTAAAAAAGATCATTTGAACTTGAATATTTCCGAATAGTTCATCATAGATAAATATCATTCAAGAAATACCATAATGTATTCAATTGTGCTAATTCATCAAATAATTCTATTTGTTGCATCAAATAAGTAACCATGAATAAATGTTACAACAACAGAAACAATTCAACACATAGATATCCATAATACTATACAGAATTTAGATGAGAGAATAATTGAAATTTATTAAAGATTAATAAATAAGTAACAACAGAAAAAAAAATATATTCTATTTTAATCTAATTTTAATTTTGTGAAGCCTATAAGTGTCTCTGGTGAACGATATAAAAATATAATTTTAGCAAAAAGTTCTTCTTCGATAAGTAGAAAATTATATTCTCGAACCAAATCAATAGCTTGTAAAAGATTCCATAAACGTTCTACATTTGGTAATTCATAAAACATTATTTTTTCACTTGTTTGAAAGAATGTACGCAATATTCGTGCAATAACAATTACAAGTGTTGTGTATAGACCAAGAATCCTATAGAAAAAAAAAATAGAAAAATTATTTGGATCAGCATCAATTTTAGTATTCTCTCTAGCTTAACAAACATTACAAAATGAATAGAAACTTTTACAGATACGAAAAAAAAAATAAACGAACATTAATATCTGAACAACAAACAAGAAAATTTCACCACTGTGTATTTATTTTCTCTTTTATCCAGTAAATTATCATTGGTGAATTGCGATAGATATAAATCAAACAATTAAAAAAGATCATTTTCACTTGAATATTCCATCCACTTATGCTAATTCATCACATATAATTGTACTTGCTATATCAAATAATTGACTATGGATAAATATTGCAACAACAGAAACAATTTAAGGGTATCCTCCCCTCTTTGGTGACCAAAAACTCGATTTCGAACTAAGTCCCAAATATGATAGCCTGAAGTGCCAAATGCAACTAGAGACATTATTCGGCTCTAAATATCTTACTTTTACATAGTTATTAGATCGAGAAAAAATTTTTTTTTCATAGTAATCATATGTAAAATTATTTCTTTCACTTAGCGTTATGTAAAACAGTGATTTTTCTAAATCTTAGTTGCTTACGATCCCCTTCTTAGTTTGTCCGATCGAGCTGAAAATTTTACCACTAATACTTCGAAGTATTTGCCAGAGGTAAAAATCATGCGTTTCCATTTTTGACGTTCCTACTCGGAGTTGCCAGGTCGTGAAAGCCAAGATCCGAAGCACAAAGTCAAACTTGGTGTATTTCTCTTATAAAAAAAATAAGAAAGTGAGATTTTGAAAATCCTTAAATTTACCTCTGAGCAATAGTGTTAGGCATCTATAAACAAAATTCGAGTCCAATCGGACAAACTTTAAGGGGGGGGGGGGGGGGGGGAAGGAGGTCGTAATGTATCAGGATGCGGACCTCTGGAAAACCAGGATTTTCCATAAAACCCCACAAAAACTTATTTTAAATTTTTTTCCTCGAACACGTATCTCTTTATTTTTAGTGTTCTATCTGTGCTAAAAATTTCAGCTTGATCGGTTGTACCGTCTTCGAGAACTAGCAAGTGTAAAAAAAAAGAGGGGGGGTGTACTCTTAAATATAGATATCCACAATACTATAGAGAATTTACATGAGAGAATAATTCAAATATCTACTAAACATTAACAAATATATCAAGATGATGAAAAGAAGAACAAGAGAAAAAGAAAAATGAGAAAAGAAGTCGAACATATCAATATATGACAAAACATATACAATGAACAGAACATCAATGAACGTTAGTTTTGTTAGTTTATTAGTTTTGTAATCGAACAAAGCTTAAAAAAAAAGAATCTATTGAAAAACTTACCCATAACGAGTAAGAAATGAAATATTATTCGGCGAGATTTTATCATTGAAAAAAATCATGCTCAAATATTCTTCACTGGAAAATAAACCTTTGAAAAATAAGAAAAAATAAATAAATGATTGATCAATTCAAATCATATATGAATCTTCAATATTTAATTCGTAATCTCTGTTAGAATTGAGCTTTTCACATGGAAGGTTTACGAAAGATTTCTAATAGGCTATATATAGACTTGAACCGTCACATTCCTTCTACTTAGAATAATCCTCTATAGACTATATGAGTTTGACATATTTGAAGAAAACTTTTTCTGTATATATGAGTAATCATTGCATTGATATTCCTAGACTCTGGGATCTAGTGGTACAAAAGAATACATCGATCTAATACCATATTCAACTCATCTATCACTTTCCTCAATCATGATTATGAGAACCACATTTTTATTTTGAATTTAGAATTATTACATATAAATAAGTGTTAAAATAAAAAAGAAAAGAACTTCGTACAAGTTGCAAGTTTTTATGTTAGTTTTTTCTATTGTTATTGTGACGTGACTCACATGTCAGAAGCTCATTCACATCGCATTTTGTTCAGCTAAGTATATAAAAAATGAAATCTTTCTTTTTAACTCACATGATGGAGTAACTTTGAATTCCGTTCGATCTTCTGTCATTTCCCACCAAACTTCACTACTATTTGATATTGATTTTGTTTCATTAAGACTCATTGTTATATGAGCATAATATTCCGCTGGAAAAACTAAATAATATAAAATAAAATAAAAATAATAATAATGCTTAAACAAATCGGTATTCTTAGAGGATAAAATACTTTTATTGAATACTTTAATATCTTTTGGTTTTCCTTTGGCTTTAACACGCAAAAATCGCGGCATTAAATTGTAAATTTTAAATTCTCTATAATAAATCAAAAGTTGACAAAATATGAATCCATAAAATCTACCTTGGTTTTTGTGCATCAAATGTTTTATTAAGTATGTCAATAAGTGATTTCCGAATTTCTTTATCTTTTAGTTCAATATCAACTGTATTTTGACCTCTTATAATTGTTGGCATATGTTGGGATTCCGAGGTATCTTCATCTGGTGAATTATGTGTTATTGTATATGTAAATTGTACAGGTACTGTAATATTTGTTTGTAAATTATTTACAAGAGTATCACGTATCGGTTGATTTAATTCCCAGATATTAAAACTAGTTGCGAAGAAATTCGCACACAAAATATCATTGGGATGGAAACGACGTAAAAATGCACGAGCATTATCCTATTTATATCGAAGGTATTTAACAAAAAGATTTGAATATTAGACAAAAAGATTTACGTTAACTGTTGATTTAATCTTTGATGAATAGATTGCTGAACGTAAACGATTATAATCACCAAGAGTAAATGGAATTAAATGTCTATTTTGTGCTGTCATTTGATAAATTGGCTAGAGGAAATAAAGTATAAAAGTCAAAAAACAAAGGTTTAAATAAAATTTTCTTACCAAATAATCACCTAATTTTATTTCAATATTAATTTCTTTTGGTGGATTTGAACGATAAAACGATGAAGTGATTGAAAAGATTACTAATGGAAACCATATTAATAAAATTAATAACACTAATAATAAACCACCAAGACCATATTTCTTTGTTTTTGATCGAGGTTTACCACGTTCTGTTGGAAATATCTAAAAGAGACAAAAACTTCAAATCCATATCTCATATGGATTAAGTTTTCGTGACCCGAATCGATATGAATATAACTGAACCTGATCCAAGTCAAAGACTCGTTCCAAGAAAAACTTTTGTTTCTTTTTTTTATTTTTACTTTTTCTGCCCATCTTGCACATTTAAGTAAATAAACCTTTGAATAGATATCTTCTAATTGTAACCAATTTGATAAATCAAGTGCTGTATCAGTGAACATCCAGTTCATGAGCGTTCGTAATTCAAGGAAAAATGGAATTAATATATAACTAGAATATTTTATTTCAATTTATCGAGATTTATTTAAGAAAAATTCTTACATTCGATAAACATACTGATTAAAATAATTAAACCTTTGCATAAGAGCATTTCTTATGCGATGTTTTGGATACTTTGATCGTATTTGTATTGATGAACAACCGAAATAAATACATTTGAATACATACCAGAATTGAGCTGCACAATTATCTCGGAATTTCCTTTGAAAAAAAAACAACACAAATTTCAAATATTTAACAAAATAATTCTTTTTTTTTATCATCATACGTTTCAGTTTCGTTAGGTAAAACCAAAAATAACCAAATATGTACAATTATGACTTGAAATAATTGAAAGCATAATTTTCCATAAACGTTACAACGTAAATAAAGTGCTCGATCAATAATAATAAATATAAATTGAATTAATAATATACCAACAAAAGATAGAGGAACCTGAAATATTCTTATTAAATATTTAATTAAATAAAATCTAGTTTTTACTCGATTTTCTTTTATGGTTTGTACAAAATTTACACCAGTTTGTTCCTAAAAAAAATCTTCAGTTTTTATAGTAAATGAAAAAAAAAACGTGAAGAAATAAGGTGCAAATAATGGGAAATTCATTCCATGGGAAATTTAATTTTCTAATCTTAAATGCGAAATTTCAATCATCATATGTGATTTATTACTCTGAAGTTTTCAGTTAACTGTAAAAAGAAAAAATTTTTCAAATAAAAATCAAGTGAATTATTTCAAAATACATACACCGAATGCACTATAAAAACTAATAACAAGAATAATATTAATGAAATCACAAAAGAACATTGGTACATAAAAATCACGAACAAATAATGGTTGTTGAAGTTGGTTATGAAATCTTTTTATTAGTGTCATAAAATAACTATAATTAAAAACAACAATGAGAATCTATATTATTTAGGTAATATTTATTCAAATAATAAAAAAAAAAGCTAAAAGAAGGTATTAACGGTATGCATAGAATTGGCCGAAAGAAAAAACGTCGAAAGTAAAAAATGTCGAAAAAAAAAATATCGAAAGTCTTAAGAATAGAGTTTAATTCCATACAATTCCTGTGAGACTATAAGAAATGGATACTACTGCAGATTGTTTATGTACTGAGGGTGAGGAAATGTGCTTAACTCCTATTTAAAGAACTTTCGATATTTTTTCTTTCGACATTTTTTACTTTCGACGTTTTTTCTTTCGGTGTTTTTTATACCATTCTTTATTAACATGCACTAACTAATATTCCTTCCTATGTGTATTAAGATCATACCTTATTTTGTATAGAAATCTGTTTGTAATTTTATATATATATATAAAAAAACATTAGAATCATTTTGAAATAACTCACCTTTTTATTCGTGTTGATTTTGATTGTTCATTTGATTCATGTTTTCGTTCACTATGATTAACATCTGTGCTTGTTGAATCTAAATATTCAATGAATAATATTGTAATGTCATTCATCAAATATATAAAATCATTAAAGAACTGTCGTGAATTTCTTTTCTTAAACTTTGATTAGTAGAAAAGAAGGAAGTCAAACTTATACATACCATTTAACGTTGTTTGTTCTGCTTTCCAAAGTCCGAGTTGCTAAAAGAAATAAAAAAACAAAATAGAAATTTGAATATTTTCTAATTTATACCATCAATATGGATCGATGAAGAAATAAAGATGAAAATAAAAATAGATCAGCAATTGAAAAAGCAGTTTCTTTTCGAGTAACTCCAATAATATTAATTACTGATAATGGATGAGCATCTGTTGTATCAATATTCCAATCATAAAATTGAATTTGATATAAATATGTAATCCCAATCATTACGTGTGTATAAATTAAAACAGCAATCCAATAATTACGTGATGGTCGTGGTGATAATGTCGTCCAAAGAAATATCGATAATGGAAGTAGCATTGATAGAAGTCCACCTAATGTTAAATGTTTTATTATCATAGCTGAATAACATAATAATTCTGATTGAGACATTATGAAGTAAAATAAAGAATTAAATAAACGATAAGGACGTGAACGTTGATTTATATCAATTGGTTGAGATGGTTTTCGAAGATGAACATATCTGAATGATTAAAGAAAGAGATACAGAAGAAAATTCAGAAGAAAATATACCTATCTGGATGATTATTATCAGCCATTTTATCCATATCGATAACAGAAGCCTAGAAAAAATAAGATTGAAGATATGGAATAATAATTTTGAGAAAGATTAATTTACTTTATCATCATTTGTTTTTAGTTGAATACATTCTCGTTGAATAACTTTATCTTCAGATTTCATTTTAGCTAATTTTCTTGAAACTTTCCGATAATCATGTGAATATTGATTAAATAAATCAATAAAATAATCAGTAATAATTTCACCAATTAAACGTATTTTAATGAAAATTAATTTTTCTTTCTTTTTGGATTCTATTTCTAAAAAAAAAATGAAATCATTCGAAATTCTGCCATGAATTCAAAAACATAATGATCTACCTTTTGGTTCGACAGATGTTATTTCTATTGGAACTTGTAAAAGTGGCATTGTTGTTGTTATTGTTGTTGCTGCTAATGGAAGAGAAAGAGAAGAAAATGATGGTGACGTAGTGAATTTTTGACTATTTGATTCAATAACAGGTGATATTGGATGTTCTGTAAGTAAATAAAACAAATGCAAATGTTTACCAGTGAATGAATTGAATATCAATGCTGAGTTTTTTTTTGCCAAGAAAAACTTACTTTGAATAGCAACAGCAACCGCTGCATCTTTGTCACATGCTGATAAAACTCGAAAAAACTAAAAGAGCACTTGTATATATTTTTTATTTTTTCTAGATTAATAAACCTGTTCTAGAATATCAATAGCTTTATCTTGTTTTCCTTCATCTTCTTCTTCGTTTGATTTATAATTGAACATGTAATAATCTCCCGATCGAATTGCTATAATAATAACATAAAACTTCTGTTTTATTTTTCCTTTTAAACAAACCTTCGAAATGTTCAGATGGTTCAACAAGTTTTGAAGCAACTTTGCTATCCGATTGATTTAATCTTAAGTGTTGCTCTTTAATATATTTTAAATTTTGAATTGTTTTCATCACAGTTTGTTCTTCACGTCTATCATCTTCTTCTCTTTGTTTACATAACATTTCATTGAATAAAATACCACCTTGACTAACGAATTTAGCTTGAGAATCAAGTTCCGTGACAATATATTGCCAATAATGACTTGCAAATATTCGTTTTTGCAATAAAAGAAACATCATACAAAGTCCATCCCTACAGATAAGATAAAATATGTGTTGAAAATTAAAAAAATCCAGCAGTCAAAAGACTCAAAATACAATTTTTAAAAAAGAAATACAATAGACAATGACAGAGAATTTTGTTCTTGACGACATTTCATAGGAAAAGGCAACTATATATTGAAGGTCACGACATATTTTTTATTTCGTCACATATTTTATGGTCAGAAATATTTAGAGCCAAGTTTTTTTCTAGTTTTAATCCATTTGAATAATCTCTTTTCTTGTGGTATTATTATTGCGTTTGAAATCTAACTGTAATTCTATATCTCGTTGCTGAATTTATAAATCACTAATCATAATTTATTACAATGAATGCCTTCTTTTCATCATAGTACATATACGCTAACCGTATGTTGTTATTCAGAAACTGTGGAAGATATTGTATATCACGTTTTAATTTTTGTCAAAGTTTTTTCTAAAGGACATCAATGCATGTATATTATCAAAATTTTCATCGAATCGACTTATCAATGATAAAAAAAAATTTCATTTACATGAAAAAACTCGCATGGATAGCGATTTGATCAGATTGTTCATTGGCATCTAGAATTTAAACAAAAGTCAAATGAATTAAAAAGTTTTTCGAAACAAAAAACGAAAAAAATCTAGTGATCTGTACCAATATAAGATATAGAAGAATTTTTTGGAGATTTAGACTTTAATTTAAAGCCTGGTGCAAACCAATGGACAAACATGCGAAATATAGACGTGGACGATATCGATGAATGAAGAAATATACAAACCACCATCTAGAAAAAGACTTTTTAAGATGAAGAAAACGAAACATGTTTTAGAAAAAGAAAAAAAAAACATTTTTGCTCCCAAAGAAACATGTACATTAAAGATGGATATAAAAAAGAAGAAACCTGTTGAAGAAATACAGCTATGATCATTGAATCTTTAAATGCTTAATTTTAAACAAGAAATTGCAAAGATTTGCTGTATTATACATTGAGTTGACAGAATATCAACACAAGCGACTATCTGAAAACATTTATTTCTTTTTTCATGATCATTACTTGAGAAAAAGTACTCTGCCCAACATGTCTCTTAACATACCTGCAAACATGCTTTAATAAATATCACAAAAAAACAATAAAAAATTAAACAATTCCATCTAAAACAAAATCGATTTTAAATACAAAGAAAAATTGAAAAAGTAAATCAACATACAATCGAAGAATAACTGTAATATGTTTTATTAAAAAATTTTGTCCATCCCAAAGAAAATATATACATGCCATAAGATAACCAAATCTAAGGTAATCAATTCGCCATGTTCCAGTTAAATACATGATCAATACAACACTCCATATTCCATACATAAATATTTCATATTTAAAATAATCAAGCCAATTTCGTAGATCTGTTACAAAATTCGATGTTCGATTGTTTTTATAAACATCATTATCATGGATTATTTCGTAATTTGATCCACCAGCTTCAGCATATTTACGATCTTCTTCATTTGTTTCATATACAAATACACGCCATTGTTGACAAGCAAATAAAAATTGAAAAAAATCAGCTAAAAAATTTCAATACATAGAAAAATTGGATCTGGATTAAAAAGATTACCAATTAAATGTGTTGCTATTGGTGGAGTTACATAATCAGGTAAATAAAGCCAACGTTTTAATTGCGGCCAACTATTGAAGTTAACAGCTAACCATGGATATTCTATAAATAATTGAAAATTTTATTAGACATTTCAAATAATAATATCAAATAAATTCAAATCTTTAGTCAAATTCTTCTCATAATTCCTGTCTATTTTTATAAATATTAATACACTATGATATTTTAGTTATTGAATAAGAAAAGAGATATCGAGACTTATTTGAGATTATGTCTATCCTCGTCAAATATTGCACGATACTCCTCAATCTCTTGTTTAAAAAAAACGCGCAATTAATCACCAAAGCCAAGATTTGGTGGAGCACCAACAGCACTCATATATTGCACTGGAAAGACAATAATATGAAAGAATATATAAATAGACCATATTCGTTGAATAAATCGTCGACTTGATATTAAAAATATACCAAGCCATATTAAATACATCATAGCCATTACATCAAGACGAATACTAATGACAATTATTATTGTTATATAACATATCTAAATAATAAAAAATCCACAATTTTGTTTATATATCTTTCAAATAATAGAAATCTGATTGTTTTCTTTACTTCCAAACCAAATCGATAGAAAATAAAATTAGCTAAATATTTTAAAAAATTAATCATGTTTTCATTAGCTTGTTTATAATCAACAAAATCATATGTATAACTATTATCATGAACATCTTTCAATGCAAATGGTTCAAATAAAATTGAAAAAGGATTTTCAACAAGATGAACATTAAAATGAACTGATAATGTTAAACGACGATGTCTTTGTCGATATTGTACAATTGCATCAAATGTTAAAACAATTGTTAATAATATATAAAGCTATGAAAGCAAAAAAAAAACTTCTTTCTCCAGAAAAATTTTATTTTACTCCAAGAAATTGATCAATTTTTGATGTTAATTTCAAACCAAACCATTCTGCTACATCAGCTGAATTCAGATAAAGTCTTTCACCAAGTCTTACGTTTGAATGAATCTAAATTATTGATTTACACAAAAAAAAAAGATAAATTCTGTTTTTTTTTACTCGAGAACAATTTTGATAAACATTCTTTTCAATAATTAGTTGATTAACTATTTCTAATTGATAACACATTGATGTAAGGATATATAAACTTGTAATGATCAATGTTATTATATTAATTAATGATCGACGATGTAATAATGATAAACCAATAGTTGTCAAAATCATTAAGATCATATTAAATGCAGATATCTAAATAAGAGGAAAAAAAACAATGAAATATATAAATTTCAAGGAAAATATTTGTTTTACTTTCAATACAGAAATAAGGACCATTATAAATAGAACCAATTTATATGAATGTAATTCACCAAAACGCCAAACATAATGAATTATTTGTTTATATAAATAGTTTAATTGAAGATAAAATTTATAGAAAGATTCATGCCAAGCTTTTGGTTCGTTGTTATCAAGATTATTTAGATTTTCTGTTTTATTTAAATAAAAAAAAACACAAATGAATAAGATTAATACAAAGAGAAGAAATTTTACCTTTTGCATAAGCATGAATATATTTTAATGTACTATATGATGAACCTTGAATATTTATATCACTAGAAAAATGACATAGATCAAACAACGATTTATTCAATTTTTAAAAATATCACAGTAAAGAAAATGAAGATCATTATCCACGCTCAATGCATAGACTGTAAACATAGAAGTACGACATCATTTTACAAGGTTTAGTACTATGCTCGTATATCCTCAAAATTCATATATCGAATGCGACGATTCTTGACTGTCTATCAGGGTTCGAAATGGGTAGTCCAAACGAATCGGTCCATAAAAACTGTTGGACCAGATGGCTCAGCTCGACGTATTTTTTTTTCTTTTTTACCAAAATTTACACCTGTTTTTAAGTGATAGAAATTATTAAAAATATCTTTTTATGAAAGAAAAAACTATGTAGATTTCAATTAAGGGTAATAAATAAACCATAGTTATTGCTTAAATTGATTACATCTCTCATACACAATAATGTTCTGTAATGTATAAACAACATTAATTAGCGTGAGAATGTGATTGAGAAAAAAAATATATCGAAAATACATCATCGACGAGAGTAAGAATTGCAAATAACACTTTATCTAACTATGCAACTTTGATTAACGAATGAATTCTTTGGAAACATACCCTTTTCTGGAAAAAAAAGGATAATTCTATGAATTTTAGACATTTTTTCAAGCGAAAACTTTCTTCAATCTGGACCACCCAATAAGGTAACATGCATTCGACAATAGTATATGACGAGAAGACAAAAAGTTTTGATATTTAAAGTTTGAAAGTTCAGCTCATTTAGTTCTCTAAACTTTGGATATCAAAAATTTTGTTTTTCTCATTCACAGACTATTTTCAACTGCGTGCTATTGAATGATCAAAATCGAAAAAAAAAAACTTCTACTCAGAAATATGATACATTTCTGATAGCTTTACTCCCATAAAAAATTTTATCATATAGGACATCGAATCATGCGTAATAATCATTATTAAATTGAAATAGCTTCCAATATCTTTTGTTTCTTCGTTTAACTCAACAAGAAATTCAATTTATCTCATATTGATTTTATTTCAATTTCAATAATTTGGTCTTATCAAATTCATCATAAAACTTTGCTCCCAAGTATCTTGGTAATTACTAAAATGATATTCAAAATCTATTGAAAAGAAACTTTTATTAACAAAATTTTCTTTCAATTCGGGTCGGATAGCCTCAAATAATCTATATATATAATGTTCAGTGTGTGTGTGTGTGTGTCTGTGCCGGGTCAAAGGTCATATAAGGGGAAAGCGCCAAGGGCTATTATATACAGGTACCTATAGATTCTCAAGGGCTATCCTATGGAGGTACCCATAGGTTCTCAGGGGCTATTATATGAAGGTACCGATAGGTCCTCAAGAGTATTATGTGGAGATACCCATAGGTCCTCAAGGGCTATTATATGCAGGTAACCATAGGTCCTTAAGAGTATTATGTGGAGATGCCCATAGGTCCTCAAGGACTATTATATGGAGATACCCATAGGTCCTCAAGGGCTATTATATGGGGTACCCATAGTTCCTCAAGGATTATCCTATGGAGTAATGACTATTATATGGAGGAGAGCCATAGGCTTTCAAGAGCTATTATATGAAGGTATCCATGGATCCTCAAGGGCCGTCCTATAGGATACCCATAGGCTCTGAAGGGTGTAAGACAATAAAAGGATAAGGCTACAAGTGGTACAAGGGAGATAAGGCTAAATGGACTATAAAAATATGTGCAATAGAAGAGTATAAGGCCGTAAGGCTTCTATGTATATACATAAGATCGCGTATCTGCATGTCTGTTATCCGATGAAAAGTTAAAGATCTGAAGTCATACGTTAAAGAAGAAATTAGCCGTGCTGTATACACGGGTTCTCGCTAGTATCCAAAATAATATCCAGATCATGAAAAAAAAGTGTTTCATTTCAAATCTTGCTATCTATGTATATAGAGACTATTTAGGTAGAAATTCAGACGCAAGATAGACGAGAGTTTATTAAAAGAAGGATTATAGATTGTACAGTTGGCAAAAAACACGATTTTGTTATTCGACTGCAATCAATACTACAAGATTTGACTGCAAATTATTTGATCAAAACGTATATGATCTTCCTTCTAGATTAAACAATCAGATCTTTCGAGATTCAATGAATGATCTTATACAATTGTTCAAGATTCAAATAAATATGTGTAAAAAGTCCTTAACCTAAGTAAAACATAAAAACACTTGATTTTATTCGATACGAGTGTATTTATTATTTTCAATACTGTTCAACAGAATTATCACAATTGATAAAACTGATTTTGGAAAGAATGAAATTTAATCTATTGATTTTAAAAGTATTTAAGAAAATTACCTTGGCATTCTAATTAAATTCATCCAATCAGAATGAAAACAATAAATTTGTACTATGTTAACAACAAGAAATATGCTTGGTATAAGTAATTTAATCGTCAAAACATCTGATGATACGACTTCAAGTCCAATTAATGCAAGTCTACAAATGAGAGAAACAATAAAACATTTTTTTTTCTTGTTTATTATCAAAACTTACAATTTTTTACTAAATCTTGTCGATAAAAATACATTGACTTTTTCAAACTAAAATAAACATAATAATTCATTTTATATGATGAATGTAAAATACTTAAAAAACATTACTTGATATATATATAAACTAATTAAACTAATCATTGAATAGATCATAATTGTTAAATGAAATGTCGTTGCTATTTTTTTCCAAAATTCAAATGAGGGTGTGGGGTGTGGGCGGAGATCGGAGAGTTTGTGTGGGGGTGGG